TGGATGGATGGATGGATGGATGGATGGATGGAGGGATGGATGGATGGATGGATGGATATTGAAAGCAGCGGGATCTTGTTTTATAGAAGCTGATAGAAAGATAATGGATGGATGGATATATATATATATATATATATATATATATATATATATATATATATATAAAATGAATGTATATAATGAACACATTTTACTTCCAATCCAGGGAGCTTTGCCAACTCAAACCTGGAGAGTGTATGGAATTTTACGCTCCAAATGTATGCTAGTTTGCATGTGAGTGTGCTTACACATTTATCTACGCAGGTTGCCGTTACAGAGGCAGTCTATGAAGCATTTTGCCAGTGAATATATATTTAACTTACTGTTCTACTATACATCCTGTTGACGTTTCTATACAGACAGCTCACAGTATAGCTACACCCACACAGAGCTGCTAAAACATGGTTTATTTAAATATGTCAGGCTTTTGGCAGTTAAAAGAGCAAAACAGACAAAGTCAATATGCATGAATTACAACATGCACAACAAATTGAAGATAATGCTGCAATTATTATTATTATATATTTTATTATTATAGTATATTTAATTATTATTATGCAGGTGTGTACATAAGCAATGTAGGATTAAACTGGTTCAATGTAACAAGAATCCTAACTGATGTAAAATCTGGGCTCCAGGTCACATTGTTTCTTGATGCCTTGACATACCCACTGCCAAGGCAAGTGGTATCTTTCAGAAAATCCAGATTTTTTTAAAGATACCAAGCTGACTTCTACAAACTCCCTGACTTTGAGAAGTTGAGATGTCAATGTCAACTTTATTTATATAGCACATTTAAAAATAACAATGTTGACCAAAGTGCTTCACCAACAAGAAATCAGCAATAAAATAAATGAAATGTCAAGCATTAAAAACACAAGTATAATAAAATAGGCTAAGAACAAACTAAGCCGAGAAAATAACAACCTCAGATGGAACTCAAACCAAACATGAATTAAAAGCCAGAGCAAAAAATTGAATTTTTAGGTGGGATTTAAAGGACTGTATCTGAAGAACTGTTAGCTATCCTGTAATGCAAAGATGAAGCAAATCCCCAATATTAAGCTCTTTTCATTGTTTTCCTGTGAAATCCAAACAATTCACACACAAACAAATTCAGTGCTGTTTTTCTTCCCTTGCTTGTCTTTGAATATATTGTCTCCTAACGCTTGTTAACGTCTACTGAGCTGTTTCTGTGGGTGAAAGTGGGTGGTCTTCCAGGGTTTTCAGGTCTTTGATGCATTAGCAATGCCTTGGAAATCATAACTTCAAGTAGATTAAATGTAAATGCTAAAATGTATAGCTGTTAAACTTTATATTTGATATTTACAATATGAACATTTCCATATTGAATTAGAAAAAAATAACTATATATTATCAGTAATACTCAGTTTATGTCCACCTCTACTTTGCTGCAAAAGGTGATTTATTTGTTACTTCAAGTGATGTTTTAAAATACAGTAGTCCCTCACTTATTGTGTGGGTTACGTTCCAGACACCCCTGCGATGGGTGAAAATCTGTGAAGTAGAGACATTATATTTATTTTAGTATTTAAATTTATATTAAAGCTTTATAAACATTTCCAACACTCTTGCAATGTTATTAAAGATGTTCTAAACTCTTAAACCTACAAATTTTTAACAACATACATATATGTACTGTACAGTAATGCAGAATTTTATATGGGTACTCACCGGTGAAGATTCAAGGATTCAATGATTCAAGGTACTTTATTTGTCATACACACCACATGTGGTACATGTGATGGAAGGAAATTGTGAACACAGGGTCCCAGTTATACTAACTTCAAAGTATCAAATGACTACTGTAATTGTATAAATCATTTTTAACCTCCTCACTTTCAAAACTAAACTTTTATCTGGATTGAGACATACCTGTACTTTATTTTCTCGTTTGAGTTATGATATGACTGAGCCATGTAACTGACAGGGCAAGCATAAAGAGTTAACCTTTAACCTTTACCCTCCCTGTTTCTTTCAGGTTGTGTATTGGGAAGATGACACCAAGCCTGACACTGTTGGAAAAGTGCGAATAACTGGAAACTACACGCAGATTAACATCACAGGGCTGAAAGCAAACACAGCATACTACCTCTCTGTGGCGGCCTTCAATACTGCTGGTCCTGGACCACAGTCAGCACCCATCAATAACACCACAAAGAAACCACGTGAGTTCATGCCAGGAGGGACTATGGCATATGTCCCGAACAGCTGTAGCATTCCTTCAGCTGTGCTGGTTGTACTTCCAAAAGTAAATCTGACAACAGTTTTCAGGCGGTCTGATGCTCGCTGTGTTACACCTGCAGTGAATGCTGGAAGCCTTAAGGTGTCCTTAAAGTTGAAGTGGTTTAAGACACACACAGGCAAAAATAAATAAATAAATAAAACCGCAAAAAAAGGTAATTATTTACAAAAAAAGACAAACAAAACATTGGGAGCGTATATTATGCTCCTACCATTTATCATACTGCAAATAAGTCACAGGAAAAACTAAACTATTAGTTATTATTATTAAACTGCAAACGTGAAGAAACACGCAGCACGTCAAAAATGAAACTTAAACCAAAACTGGTTCTGGTTCGGTGGATTGGACCTGGTGTTACACCATACTCTGTGACCTGCAACAGTGCAACACTGCCCCCTACGGTCATACGGTGGTCACATAATATGACGTCACTACGGATACTCGACGTAACATTTTTAACCTCGATAGAGGTCCTAGCAATTGATGTGTAGATTACTCGAGTACTCTGTTAATGCCGTAATGCAGACTGTACCTTATTTAATGATATGCAAATAAAAATACAGTATACAGTATAAACATGAAAATGGAAACTGTAGCAACTGTGTAAATGTGAAATTGAGATATTGTGTAAAGTTTGAAATAGCATGATTTACTAGGGCCGGCAGGAGAGGAGGGTGTGTGCCAAAGACACCATCTTAGCACCAACATAACTGGTTTGTTCCACTTTGGAGTAAGCTGTTTGGGGGAAGACTCAGTTTTTTGTTGTGTGTTTCCTTGACTGATGAAGGCTTCCGGATGGAAGGTGAAACGTTTCAGCAAAAAAAGAAACCTGACCTGACCTGACTGAAAATTGTTGAGCATGTTTTACTTGATGGTTTAAGTCCTGGGATTCAAAACTAAAATAAATTTCCTGGATTAAGGGGGAAAAAAAAGATAATAGCAAAATGTTACACCTTTAAACAATTATTGATCAAGAACCCTTTTAAAACTCAGAAGAAGTACCATTTATTTTAATCAGAAAAAAAATTTGTTTAAGACTTTACCACAATCCCGTAAATAAACTCGTTAATAAATCTAATAATATTCCTAAAACATTCTATTAAAATCCATCCATTTATCTATTATCTTTACCCGCTTCTTTCTTTGCGGGTCACCGTGTCACTGGTGCCCATATCCAGTGGTCACTGTGCGAGAGGTGGGGGACACCCTGGACTGGTCTCCAGTCTATCACAGGGACACAGAGACTAACGAGACAAACAACCATTCACTCTCTCACTTACACCTAGAAACTATTTAGAGTTGCCAGTCAGCCTAACATGTATGTTTTTAGTCTGTGGGAGGAAACCGGAGCACCCGGAGAAAACCCACACATGCACGAAGAGAACATGCAAACTCCATCCAGAGAGGCCACTGGCTGGGATTTGAACTGGTGACCTTCTCACTGAGAGGCAACAGCTCTACCAACTCATCCACCGTGCCGCCCCATTCTATTAAAATAGTTTATATAATTTCCACATTACTTTCTCTGTTTATTTTCCTTGCATCTGTCATTTATTTGCCAAAACACTCTCTCTCACTTTGTTGTACACTCCATCCTTGACACACACTAAAAACAACTGCTTTCCTCGTTTGCATAAGCTGAAATACATATTGAAACATTAAAAAGAGACATAAAAGTAAATATGCTTTGGGGAAAAAAAAGAAGAAAATATGAGAATTATACATAAATGAATGCACCTGTTTATTTTCATAGTAGCCTCATTTGTCTCGGTTGTCCTTTTTTTCTCACACCTCCTGCACTAATACTGACAGAAAGACTTACGCTAATTAGCCACATACTCTTTGTTTGTATGTTTTTGTGTGTACAGCACCATTACCCCCATAGACCACCTCACAGGTCTATTTTTGAGAGATTCATTAAAAACGAGTTCTCATTAGTTTTTTTAAGATATACATCAACTAGAAATCTGGTCTGCGTGGACCCAACTCTGTAAAATGACAAGCAGATTGTGGTCAACCAGCATATCATATGTATTTATCTCTGATTTTCTTTTTTCTCTCTCTCTCTTTATATTGTTCAGCACCAGATCGGCCTCCATTTGACATACAATGGAGCATGATTGGCTCCACACTAACACTGCGCTGGGACCCTGTGGTAGCCATGGAGACAGAGTCAAAGGTGACTGGCTATTTGGTAGGTCCCAGTTCTTCACAAAGCTTTGATTTATCCACTGATTTATATTTCCCATTAGTGGATTTTTCTTCATCCCACGCTCTTGTTTTAGGTGGTGGTGAAAAGACACCGGTACAATGACATTAACACGATCTTCACCAACAAAACCACAGCAGAGCTCAGCCTCTCAGCCAGCGACAACTATCTCATTCAAATCAAAGTTCTGAGTGAAGGCGGTGAGAGTGTGGGCAGTGAACCCATCCACATCCACAAATTAAGTGAGTATGTCTTTCTTCTTGGTTCCTCCACTGATAAAGTTTAAGGGAATATTTAATAGTTGTATATGATTTTGCCTCATTGAATCTGATTTTAACCATGTGTAATACTTATTTTGAGTGTAAGAAAGAAGGACCTCTTTAGAAATGCATGCACAGTGTCATCCATCTCTGCCATTAGGTTTTTATTCCTTGTTGACTGGCTGCACAGGGCTGCAGCATATAAAGCAGTTCTGTGTTCCCATCTCTGCTGAGTGAAACAGTGAGGCCGCTCAGTTGGCTGCGCTCCTCTTTGATGCTATACCAACTTTATCTTCTTGGGCTACTTTAATAGCCTCTCCTGTTGAAAGCCAGTAATAGTCTTGATATGAAAAAAAACACATTTGGCTTCTGATTTATGATTACTTGTCAGAATTTTAGAGGACAGCAGAGCAGCGTGCAGGTTGTCTATTTTTTCTTGGTAGGATGACTATTTCTGTTCCATCACAACTTCATCTGCTGGTTTCATTTACAGGCATGGGAGCTCGGGGCTCTGGAGCTTCAAGCCTTAGACGGTTGTCCTGCTCTACAGTCCTTATTAGTGCACTGTTCTGTGTCACCTGGTGATGTCAAACAGCCTCTTCCTCCATCCTGTCATTCAAGCCTGTTTAAGCTGACTCCCCACTGGAATGGTACAAGGCCCAGGTTTCAGTTGGACTGGGACAAGGGGGGTGAATTACTGGACTGCGCCAAACTTTCCAAGGGGACCATGCTTCTTTTAAATATTCACCTGATGGAGATGTGAGAAGTTTCATGAATATGGTCTGCTTTTTCTTCCAGTGTCGAAAGTGCCACTGTTCTCTAAGATTTATTTTAGAAATTCTTCTCTCTCTACATGATTCAATCTTCTTAGATACTATTGCCTTAAAACCCACTTTACTAAAACAGTTCATACCAAAGTAGGTGACAGCGGCTGCTTGCATCAACCCTATGTAAAAGTGTTTAGTACAAACAATTCGTCACACGGCATCAATACACAGCTCAGTATTCATTATATTATAAACATTGGCCTCACCCATTTTTCACTTTGTCAAATTACCCAAAGCCATTAATTCATAAGCATGTTTTTCATGCAGCTGTTGCCAATAAAATACCCATTCTAGGCATAAGATTTTTTACCAGGCTTAGTCAGATATATGACAGGTGCATAATTGATCAGCTGTGCCTGAAACCCACTTATCTCTGACTACTGGAATAATGTTAAGTCTGCTAGAGAGCCACAGGCTCCTGAGCTTTAGACCCCTTTCACAACACTCTGATAGATCTTGGCATTTTGCTCTCTATCTCATCCTCCGTTAAATAATAAATGCCTCTCACACTCTGCATTCTCAGTCTAGCGAAGAAATTGGGATTGAGGAGAGCAGACATGTGGTTTAACTACATCAAGCAGATCCCATGTGTGCTGTTCCATCTTTGCTTTAAGACGACCAGTGTTTGACATCGTATCACAGAAGAAGCACCATCAGCAACCCAAATGACCACCTGCCACCGTGCACAATGGACTGCAAGATAAAAGTGCCTTCAGTAGAGCTCAGCCCAGTGCTTTTATTATTTTCCTCCTCAGATAGCTTATGGAAAGATTCATGATGCAGCAGGGGAATTGTTTGCTTTGCTTTGCTGAAGAATATTAGATACAAGAGACAGGAAGCTCGGAATGTAGGAGCAACGCTTTATTGGAAATGGTATGTTGATTAAATTTTCATTGAGGCACAGGAGCACCTTAGACAGAAAAGGTTGGCAATGTGAGATAAGACACTGTACATTTCAATATGTAGTGGAACATTTTGGCACTGGTATTTATGACCTGTGGTAACACAAACGTTTGACTCCATCCGTATTATAATTTATGGGCTATTAAGGCATTAGAATAATGGATGCGAATATCGTGCGGAAAGAGGCCTGACTGGAAATGGAGCACAAGGCATAGCCATTATTTTACCCCGACTTCACCTCTGCCTGTTGGACACTTACCAGGCTGAAAAGTAACAAAAGATCCTTACAGCTCTGCTGAGGGAGCCACTTTTTACAGCCTTTTATCATGTAGATGAGTCTGTCAAAGGACATCCAAATAAGAGTCAAGGTGTGATAGCGGGGGTCCTGGCAATATGAGAGGAAAGATACATTCAACTGAACACATCACTGAGCCTCCGCAAAACACGGGGTCAGGTACAGTCGTTAGCTATAGCCATTTGCAGCCTGCGTTTTGAACTATTGAAAGCACAAGGAATTGATACAAGGGGACTGGAAGTCCTCACTTAACTATATCTGAGCAGGTGTGCAGAACCCCAGAGGCCTTTTGAAAGGTCCAAACAGCCGACATAATCAGGCTGTCTTATCTAGCCCTTGACTGGATTCATACAATGCTGTGCTCGTTGATTAGACTACTGCAGACCAGTCAATGGGATATTGATTTTACTGGAACCATTATTGTGGCTGTCACAGTTCAGCTACTTGATTGACTGATGGCCAAGTTCTTATGCACTGGTTATTTTGTGTTAGAGTCTCTGATGTTTCAAATGTCCTCTACTAGTTTCATGACCTTAGTTCTTGTCAGACAGTTTTAAAAATCATTCTTGTTTTTCTTGGTTTGACCAGAAACATCTCTGTGGGTTATTTGCTCAGTGTTTTCAGCAGCTTCCCATGGTCAGTTTCAGAATGTGTATTCATAGTGTAGGAGTAGGTTGTAAATTAGAGCCCTGACCTGAATTTGAAATTAGCTGCTGCGTGGTTCTTTTGACTTACATATCAAAACAAACAGTAGTATTGTTATACCATTTTAGACAGCAGTGTAGAAACCCAGTCACATCAACGTTACAAACTGTGAAATTCCCTCTTAACAACAATTAGACTGACTTTGATCATGAACATGTTTGCTTCATTTTGTTTTGTCTGCAAAGCTTTTTGTCTTCCAACCATTAATGTGTTCTTCTGGCAAGTTTTATTTAACCAAATTTAAATTGAGTTACAGTAAAAGCACCTTCACAATGGTATTGTTGTTCAGAGCAGTGTATGAGTTTTAGATGTGCAAAAATGTTTTATGAATTGCTGTGTATTTAATGTCACAACAACTAATGAGCTTGCTAACTGTTAATTTGCAAGTCATTTCAGTCAGACAACCTCCGTGTGATAATTTTTTACTGAAATTATCTCCCAAAAACAAATTATTTTGGGGGGGGGGGGGGGATGCAGGGCCAGCATATGCAATGGCCTAAATTTATGCATAAAATTCTTATGTACTACAGCTACAGAAAAAAAGAAAAAAGCTAGAAAACTGACCATTCTTGACTGACTGACATCAGGGGTGCCCAATACGTCGATCGCCATCTACCAGTCGACCAGTCGGTAGATGGCATGTCATTAAAAAAAAAAAAAAAGACGTCAGCCTATACATCTATCCTCAGTATGAAATTTGTCTCTTGATTGACATACAGGGCAGCCAGTCTGAGCCCCCCTTTAAACGACATGAAACCACAGCCTTTCTGCTGCAGTTCTGAATCCAGGTCTGAAGTGGGACACCCCCGTGAAATGCTCCGCAAGTGTAAAGTGGCACATGCGCACTACATGCGACTGCAGTCCACAGTTTTTCTGCTCTAACAACAGTTATAATAAATGGCAGAGAGCAGAGTGTTTTTGTGCTGCTCACCCTTTTTCAGCTTGTAGGAGTACAACTAATAAAATCCAGGCTCCAAAGAGATGTTAGTGTATTCACCAGTTTGGAGTAACTGTGATCATGCAGACGCTGCATGCACAATGAATGCAGATGAGCCCTGCATCAGGGTTGCCAGATAAATATTAAATGTCTCATTCACTCCTCCTTTTCTGTGCACATGTTCAACAAACACAAAACATGCCTCATCTTAGAATATCTTTGCTCAGCACATACGACAGATTAGATCAAAATACTATCATTTTAAAGTGACAGTACTGTAGTTCATAATTTCTTTCTGGCAACCCAACTGACATGGAAACTACAGTGTTTTCGTGTAAACCCTCTGATTTTTTTTTTCTTACCCCTTACCCCCAATAAACATTCAAAAAACACCAAGGTTTCCAGAGGTTGCTGTGTGTAATCTGAGCCTTATAGTAGGTAGAGCACTTTGACTTGGTCATTTTAAAAGTAGCTCCATGCTGAAAAAGTCTGGAAAAAAGTGAGTTAGATTATCAGCAAGACAGTGTGTAAAATTATCTAAGCGTAGTAAATACGTTTCTCTTTTTCACTATGCAGATTTTGTTTCCAGAGGACAGAATTTAACACTCAGAGTCCCTGCAGGTTCTGTTTCCTGTTTGTTTGGAGTCTGATTCATTTTTGGTCAGTCCCATTGAGTGGTCTCTGATTGCATACAGGTAAACAGTGGAGCAGAGGGTTGATTCTCTCAAACCACTGACTCACAAGACAAGCATCAGTTTATTTTCTCTGGCCTTTAAAAATTATCAGTTGGAGGTGAATTAGACTTCATTAGTTCAGTTTATTCTGATTTAATTTGAATAAAAACATTATTAGACATATGTACAAGTCATACACTTCTCCATCATTGGGCTCATTTCTTCTGTGACAGCTTCAGTGCTGCTCACATTTTGATCCAAGTAGCTATGTTTTATTTTTAAAATGATTTGCCGATTGCAGGATAGCAAGCTTTTAGTTTTTTTTTTTTTTTTGGTATCTGTCTGGCAGCTTTTAAAAAATATTGTTTACAGAGTTATAGTTTAGCCGAATGTCTTTAATCCGTATTTACATGAGAACAGAGTTATGCTTTGGCATTATGCTTTAATTGATGCTTGAACGTACAATCTAAAAAAAAAAAAAAAAATGAAGAAAGGGACTGAAGTGAGTTGTATTGATATTAAAAAACGGATTGAACAACAAAAAAGCCTAATATTATCCACAACGTCGGCACAGTTAGATTAGTTTTGTGGAGTTTTGTTTCTGGAAGGAGTACACTTGGTACAATGTATATAGCGTGCAGATATTTTTTAAACAATGCCATCATACGAACGTACTGCTTTTATATAACGTGTTCTCTGGCTTTAATACTGATGTATTAATAAATGATCTCTGTGAGATACTGACATGTAGAACGGTATTTTCATATTGAAAAGTAACTGTATTGTCTTGTATACTAAAATTGAGCATGTTAATCCTTGTTTGTTATTTTGTGTTTCCTTTTTCTATAACTGTAACTTAGTAAAATTGTTTATTCCTGCCAGCGTCGTCTTTTTTCTCCTTCTTTCATCACCACATTGACTCTGACATACAGATTGGCATCATACAGTTAATAATCAAGTATCTTTGGGTGCACAATCATGGTGTTAGCCAAGATTTTTAAAAACAAAGTTGGTTGAATGTTGATGGTATTGATGGGTGTTGATGGATCAGCATGGGGTCACAGAAAGTGGAAAGATAAATCATAATGTATCTTTTTTTTATTGAGGCAACTCCCATATGCTTTGTTTAAAATGTTGTCATTAACTACTTTGAATATACTCCTTCTGTTAGTAAAATATTTTATGAACCACTGGACAGACTTTAAATA